TAATCTAAGTTAGTAATTATTTCTTAAAATAAGTTGATTTTTTCTTAAATTGAGTAGGTCAGAGAGACACTTTGCCAATGGAATAAGACCATTAAAATTTAAAATAAGAAAAAACAACTGAAGTCTCTTATTTCAAGTGCATAATATCTAATTATCTTATTTCAAGGGTAAAAATGCTCATTCCATTGGCAGGTCATCTTATTTTCCGGCTCAAATTAAAGGTGAATACACTTATTTTAACACATTTTTACTCATTTGTAGAATGTTTTTGCAGCGTGGGTTCATATCCCAGCTGGGGGGAATGAGCTGCCACACTGGAAAAACGATCTAGAAATAAGTAAAAATGTCTTAAATTAAGTGTATTTACCCTTAATTTGAGTAAGTAAATAAGATAATTTGCCAATGAAATTAGTATTTTTACTCTTAAAATAAGATAACTAGATAGAATAAACTTGAATTAAGACAATGCAATTGTGTTTTCTTATTTTAAGTGTAAATTTTCTTGTTCCATTGGCAAAATGTCTCTTTTACCTCCTTAATCCAAGAGCAAATGCACTTATTTAAAGAAAAAATGACTTATCTGGATTTAGATTTTTTTCCAGTGCAGTGTGGGTCCTTAGGCAAGACCCTTCATGCTAATGCTTGCTTTGGGGTTCCTTTGCAGTGGCGGTCTAGTGTGCTTGGAATCCTGAGGTTCTTCCACAGCCATTCTGGATACCTGGGTACTCTGCTCCCCAGGTGCCACACAATGGCAGCCCACTGCTCCCCAAGGGAATGCTTTAAAAACAGACAGCTCAGTTTTCTTTGCTCTGTACTTTTGACAGTTTAATGACAATAAAAGCTAGAAAAAAAAGAAGAGATTTACAGACTTAAAGATGTCAATCTGCACTATAGGTCTCTGATATAGAGCTTCTGATGTTATTTTTTATTTTTTTTTAACCATTTCCAGTTGTATTAGCCTTTTTATTATTGCTCTGCCTGTAGATATGGACCAATTTAGGTGGGTAGCGGACAGTGATTTACTTTAATGGCATTCCCATCTCAGTTTCTGAGCCTCTGTGTTTCCTCACATTTGCTCCCCTGTTATTTTAATCCAGAACAAATGCTCTCAATTTGAAGGTTATCGCTGCTTACATTTATTAATCATCACTTTCATTGCGTTAAAAGTTATATCTGAGGCTCTTTTCCCACATCTTAGCAGGACCTCAGATGGAGATCACAGATGTGTTGAGAGGTGCAGGAAATATGGGTTACAGAGAAAATAACCCAAACATAATCAGTTACTGCAAGCTTGTTTTAGTTACTGTGACTCGTATCTTTACACGATCTAGTTTGACTTCTAGAAAATGTCAAACTTGATCGATTCTAAAGCCAAAAATAACAAAGATCTCCTTTTTTGGATGTATAAAACAGACGTCTGTACGCACCTTAAAATATGAACCTGCCTGCTGATTATTTGTCTTTTTAAGACATATTTAAAAGCTGATATGCTTCTTCTCATAAAAGGGGACTTTTTTATGCCTCTCAGCTCAAATCCCTCTTGGCTTCTCCTCCGATGTGTCTGAACGAGCCTCTCCGCTCTGATCCTTCCAACAGGAAGATTTATGAGCAGGGCTGACAGAGGGGGCTGTAGAACCCCCCCCCCAACAGGCCCAGGGCGACTCAGCCTCCTCTCCCAGGTGCATGCAGCCCTCCAGACATACCTGTCAACTTGGGGAGCAGGGGTGCAGATGGGGGAGGCACCCACCCAGCCTCATCTCTCCCCTCCCATTTGTAAAATGTCAGACATTACAAATTTTCCTTTTATTGGCGATGATCCCGCCCTCCTCCTGGAACTTTGGCTTCTCGGATTCTGACTGAAGTTCAGCATTTGTGCCGCTGACGCCCTTGTTCCTGCCTCAGATCGATGCCTGCGCCCGAGGGGGGGAAACACAGAGATCGCTTTTGTGCGTTTGTAGCAGGGTGAATGAGGAAGGTTTTTGCTGAAAACGGAACAAACATTTCCCCGGCACAAAGGGGGAGAACAGAAAGAAAAATGGAAACTGTCTTCCTAAGAAGGGAAGAGAAAGCATCGCATTTATCTCTGAATGTGAGTGCACCTGTGCTGGCACAGGCGCAGGGTTGGGTGACCCAGTTCATTAGTTCTCCAAAGTAAATGTATCACACAAACGCTGCTCACAAAGCCCGGTTATGTGTGGTTTATTCAGTCTTTTATTTATTGTGGCAGTCACAGCTCGTTGCCACCCCCTTCACCTCGCTATCTCTCTGCAGACACAATGGTGGCATTGATGCACGTGATCCAAAGCGTTCAGCCGAGTTTTTCTGTCCATGTTTCTCCTTTCATGGCTGAGCAGTACATCTTAAGGAGCGAGGCCAGGTGAATACCTGTGCAGGTGTTTGCACAGACAAAGACAAGCGGATATGTCTGTCAAGACCCCTGCAGGACCGCAGGAAAAAAATAAAGCCTGGCTGCATTTGTTGACTTTGCTTTGCACTGATTGATTTGTGCTTCCTTGTGTTATTTGGAGCTGGAGATATTTTCCTTTTCAACTCTTAAGAAGTAGGCGGCAGTTTTGCAAAGTTTTCCAATGGCTTTAGATCTACAGGTGCATCACAATAATTCAGAATATCATTAAGAGGCTACTTTCTTCTTAGTAGCTGTTGTGTATTTAGATGTAATACACACAGAGGCATACATTTTAAAGGATTTCTTTCTATTAACTCTGATGAAAACCAAAACAAATGTTTTCAAAATGTTAAAACGTATCAAAATCAGTAAAAATAAACATTAGTGTGTGTTTTTATCCACTCTATACATGATTAGACTAATATTTTAAACGTTTGTTTCATTCCTATCTTTTGTAAATTCCTTAAAGTCTTTTTGTTGCAGACTTCAAAGATTCTGCACTGCCAGAAATTTAAACCTCATTAATAATTTTTTTTCTAAAAAATAAGTGCATTTTTCTTGAATTGAGGCAGTAAGTGAGACACTTTGCCAATGGAACAAGACAATTTACATTTGAAATGAGATTTCAAGTCTGATTTCAAGGGCATATTATCTAATTATCTTATTTTAAGAGTAAAAATACTATATCCATTGGCGCATATTGTTATTTACCTGCTCAAATTAAGGCTAAATACACATAATATAAGAGATTTTTACTGATTTCTACGTCATTTTTGCAGTGTGAGCTTACTGCCTCTCAGAAACAGTTATTTTTTTTACATAGTTTCTCATTCGCTCTTTTCTTACTTTTACAGTTTCTGCGTGTGGACCAGGATAAGGAGTGCAACATGGATTGCACCGGAGCTCCTCAGAAACCCCTGTGTGCCTCTGATGGCCGAACCTTCACATCTCGCTGCGAGTTCCTCCGAGCCAAGTGCCGCGACTCCCAGCTGGAGGTCAGCCGAGGGCCGTGCAAAGGTCAGGTCACGAGTCACGCTTCAGCGATGCCCGGTGATCTCAAACACCGGGGGGTTAGAAGGTTCTGACTTAAATTCATTTCAGCATAATTGAATCTTTGAGCGCTAAGAACACTAGTGGGTTTGACACTGAGAGAGTGGGTGGTTGGAGGGGAGAGAGGGGAGGGGGACTTCAGCCTGGATGGGTTTTGAATCAGATTTTTTTATTACAAATGACACTAAATTGGTTTCAATGAACCATTTTTACTGTTTTAAAAACGATTGAGAGTAAAAATTAGTGTACTCGCCTATGCCGACGCCACAACCGATACCGATACCGATACTGGTATCGGTATCGGTGCAACACTGGTAAAAATTTAATAAATTGTGGAAAGGTTATTCAATTTTAAGTAAATTTAATCCCTTTTTAATACTACAGCTATAAACGGGCAGCGCAGTGGAACAGTGTGGAGTAAGGCTGAACAATTTTGCCAAAAACATAAAAAGATGCAGTTATCTTAAACCAATATTGCAAATGTGATTTTATTTAGATTTTCCCTTGCATTAACCAAAATCCTGCAAATGTTTCACTACAGGGTTACAGTTTTGGAATGTTTGAGTCCAGAATCCCTTTTTTGCAGGACTTTACTGTAACCTTTTGTCAAGAAGTGATAAATTCGACTTGCATGCATGAATTTGCATGCTAGCTGCACTTCTCTCTTTCCGTCTGCGTGGTAGCGAACCCACTTTATGCAGATTACCACCAGCTAACGGGCTGGAAGGATAAATGTAGCTATTTACTCTTTTAAATTTTAGATGGTCAAAAGTGATTGGCCCTGCTATTTTTTTTATTGCAATTATATTGCTAATGCAAGTAATTGCCTAGCCCTAAAATGGAGCACTGTTGCCTTGCAGCAAGAAAGTTCCAGGTTTCTGCATGAGTTTGGATGTTTTCTCCACGAATTATCAGTTTTCTGCAGATATTGTCCTTAGGTGTGACTGTGTGGGTCTGTGCGTTTGTATACGTCTGTATGAGAAAATGGATGGATGGATGGATGGATGGATGGATGGATGGATGGATGGATGGATGGATGGATGGATG